AACATTTCAGTTTAGACTCCACCTGTGAATCGTTTGCCATATCACTGGTTCAATTCGGATTAATTTTTTTCGTGCTGATCATAAACGCTCAGTCAATGCGTTCAAAACGATTGCATTAACATTTCGTGTTCATGTTCTCAGTCTCATAATGATCTCTCTAATGAACCTCATCTAATGGAAAAAAAATCCTTTCAAATTAAGCATCGAATCAACGTTCAGATATATATCGAAGCGAGCAGCACATTTTTTGAGCTTCACAGTTCGTCAGTTAAACTGACGATGAGCACAATCACAATTCAAAAACATCTGTTCATCTGCTCATCTGTTCCGTACCACTATCCGCCATCGAGTAAACACTTACCATTCAAATTCTAGTCGATTCCTACCTCGGTAACATGTAAAACTGAAATGATTCCAGTATTTTGGAGAATAATTCTGTTCGCGCATTGAAACTATTCATAATTCTATCGGTGAATGAGCTTTTTTCATTTTTGCTGAATTCCGCACTGATGTGTCCATTGATGTGTGCAAAAGATACTCCTGATAGTTTCATTTATTACTATTGCAGTTGTAAACTCTTGATAATAACCTTCTTAAACGTTCATAGATATGGTTATTATGTTGATAGATATGGATTATCGTTGTTGTAATTGTTATTTGTATCGAGTTGAATGGCTAATCGCAGAAATACCCAACAATATCAATGAGATTATTGGCAATAGGTATTTTGAAGTGGTTGGTGATTGTAAAAGAGATAAGGCTGTTGTGTTGAACGCAGGCACGCAGGTCTGGTGAGTTAGTTGATTGTGCATTGTCGGTGTAAAGTGCTTTAAGGCACTCCTCTTTGCCTGAGCTGCTGCCAACCTCACTATATCTCATATGCAATGTCCGCTGTTGAAGAGGTTCGTTCACTTTATCGATTTCTATTATCAATCGAACTTTTTCGTCGTTTTTCGTTTTGTTCTCAGAATCTTTTCTCGTACCTTTAATTTATCATCAAAAGTTTTCGTATGAAAAAAAANAAAAAAAACCTTCCGGAAGACGACTATTGTTCACAAGTTTCCAATGACGGCAATGAACAACTTATCTTCTGCATTCCTAGATAAGGTCGTCTCCTATAGCTGATTAACGCTTTTCTTGCTTCCCCGCTTGACTATTTCTTCTGTTGTCGCTCATTTGAGGATATCGATGGCATTCTTTGACGCGTAATTACTCTTTATTGATCTGTTCCAATCATTGTTTCACCTCCTGATATTTGTATTAGTCACTAAGATGACATGTTGTGGGCTAACTTAGGCGAGTTAGGGAATTTCTGCTGATAGTTACTCATCTTTGAATCCTTGTAGTAGGCGCGGTCAAGCGATTGATCCGAATGATGCTCAAAATAGAATATGAGTTTGCTAGTCATTTTACTGCTATACTTATCGTTCCGTGCTGCACTATTTCAGTCAACATATCCTGAATGTGGATTGCAGTAATAGTTTTTTTTTTCTTTCAACTAATCTCTGAGTAATTCTATTCTATGCAATTTCATCTGCACTGGAAAATTTTTGAAAGTTATCAANAAAAAAAGGTGAAAATCAATAGCACAAAAGAGAAAAATATGCTGTCCATCAAGTTCAGTTAATCATTCTCTTTCGACTAAACGTATAAAAACGTTGAGATTTATCAGCGCTAAAAGAAACCTCGAAATTTATCAGCTTTGATCACCATTCCTTAGCTTTGATCACTTCCAATATGTTGTGTTCACGTAATGAAACTTATCAGTCATTGTTCTTGCTAACTCGAATATTTCAACGAGTAATTGTATTTTCTGCAATTTTCCTCGATGGAGAAGACCACTGACGAAAGTAAACACTTACTATTGAAACAATTCGACTTTGTGATATTTCTGTGAAAAAAAAAGAGATTCAATAAATTTCATGACAACTTTCGCGAACGGTATAATTCTTCTGTTTACGCATTTTCTTGCACTTGAAAATCGTCTGAAATGGGCTCTCTAACAGTGAAATTGAATTCACTTCAGCATAAAACTGAAAAATAATTTATTGTGATATTATTCTAGGAAGATGTCTCAGATGTCTCAGACTTTGAAGATGAAGAAGAGGAAATCGAGTGTGAGTTAGTTGAGCCTGAACCGTCGCAGAAGTTAGCACCGAAGCATCCCATGGAAGACGCGTCAGCACCATCTACGAAAGAGGGGGACTTATCAGAAGAGGTATCCTAAATTGTTTGATAAGTGGTGTTCATAAGTCCTTCAAAGAGTGATGTTGAAGTAATACGTCTACGTCTTAGGTATGACTGAATGATCGTTTTTTCATGACAACTATACCTTCGTAGTCATTACCAACACCTGGATATAAACTCATCAGATACGCATGTAGCAAATAAGACGAATGGACAAATCATTGCAGGATGTTCCTGATGAAGACTTCGAAGACGAGGATGAAGAGCTTGAGCCAGAACTGATCTCTGAGCCGAAAGAACCTAATCGAAAGCCAAACATCAAATTTGAGGAACCGCAAAAAACCAAACCAACCATCACATCTGAGAATCCGTCTCCCGAGTCCACGGTGAATGGTCCGAAAAAACCAGAACCGCCGGGGAGAAAGGGAACTAATCTAAACAATTCACCTGATAAGGCCGCACCACAACGACACACACCCAGAGAATTATATAATGCTCCAGAGGATGGGGAAAGTGACGTTGAAGAAGAACCTGAATTAATTTCTGCTCCGAATGACGATAAGCCATCACCAAGTATCAAGTTTAAAGATCCTGAATCAAAACCAAAATCACCTCCAAAAAGGCCCCTTAGGGTCAAGCCTGGAGAGGGAGACGTTGACCCTGATGTTGACGCAGACTTGCCTTGGCCTAATGGAAAACCCGGTGCGAAGAAGACTGCGCCATCAACGAAGCCAAAGCCTGAGGAACCGGAGGATGAGCCAGAAGAAGTAGAAGAGGAGCCAGATTTGGTTTCAGGACCAGGAGACAAACCGAAACCTGACGTCAAATTTAAAGATCCAAAGGATGAACCAAAGAAGCCTAAGAAGAAGCCTCTTAAGGTTAAACCAGCAGAAGGGGACACCGATCCAGAAGTAGATGCCGATTTGCCCCTTCCTAAGGGGAAGCCTAGTCCGAAGAAGACTGCTCCATCAAAGAAGCCGAAGCCAAAAGAACCGGATGATGAGCCAGAAGATGTAGAAGAGGAGCCAGAATTGGTTTCAGGACCAGAAGACAAACCGAAACCTGACGTCAAATTCAAGGATCCGAAGAGTGAACCAAAGAAGCCTAAAAAGAAGCCTCTTAAGGTTAAACCTGCAGATGGTGACACCGATCCAGATATAGATGCAACAATCCCACTGAATCCAGATGAACCTGATGAAGAGCCAGAAACAGATGGAACATTTACTTTGCCTCGGAAGCCAGCGGAAGATGAGGTTTTCTTTTTCAGCGATCTCTTAATGTTAGCACCCCGTATTAATCGAACATTTCGGAAAACATTAGAGATCGAGTTTACAATGTTGAAGAACTATGAACTTCAAGTCATATGATCGTCTCCTTTTGTTTTTTTCGAAATTGTCCTTCAGCTCATGTTCGTGAAGTTAGGAACATGTTGAGATAACAAGAAATAGTTTCTATCTTGAAATTTTGGTGAAACACTGAGAAGAGGAATAGATTCAATGCTTGTTAGGAAGTATATAATCAGTTCTTCCTAATGACAGCCTGATGAGATGACTCCAGACGAAAGTGAACCGGATGAAAATGTACCACCGAGAAAGAAGAAACCAAAGAAGAAAAACAGAAAGGTAGCATTGCATTGTTCCATTTTATTTTTCATGAAGTGTCTAGTAATATTGTTATACCGATGCCTCACTCGTATGCAATTTTATCTCATACATAAGAGTTCATTTCAGTGTATTTGGCTAAGGCTAGGTTATACTTGTTCATTTTTATGTGAGTTTCAGAAACCGGAGAAACCAAAATGGGTTCCAC